AAAATTCGATAGCCACGGTTGTTTTGACGAGGTTCTGACACAAATCTATTTTCTAGATCATATTACGAAACAATGTAAATAACTGTGCCAATACATTAAGAATATAATTCGTGTGACATAACATTTGAGTCTCGACAAATCATAGAGGATGCAAAAAAAATAAATAGAATAAGCGCCAAATACGGTTCTGCTTTTGTTATTAGTCAAAGTGCTCCATTGGTGTTACCGGGAAACACATTTAATTTATTGTTTTGAAATTCCTTGTTTTGAGTCTGCAGTCACGGTTGACATTTTTGTACTATTGTCTCTTTAATGAATGATTTTGAAAAGTACCGTTTCAGAAACTGTACTGTTACTTTTTGGAAGCAAGCGCCTATTATATCATTTACTCATTAACGTCAAGTTGTACAAAGGTTTATTCATTGCTTTTAATACTCTATTGTCTCAATTTTTGCTTTGTTGAAATATGTAATAAATTAGTCTTATATCTTTTTTGCTACTCGGTGTAAGACTTGTCTACTCTTATTATCGTTTATTATTCTGTGGTTTGGTATTGGTTGTATTATTAGATTTTTCGCACCGTGATTATTTTTAAAAATTTTTGTTACTTCGTCCATAATTCGTCGACCGTTATAGATTTATTTGAATAACTGTTGTAAGCAAAGACAATGGTATATGTTGCCGTAGGTAGATTTGGAACAGTCGTAATGCAACGTTGTCATTGAAAATTCACTGTAAGTACCTACTACGTGTTTGCGTCATCTATGTGAGTGCAAGTCTTATAAAAAGAGGGTGATAAGAATTTTGAACAATCGTATTGAGGCCCTTTTTAAATTTCTTTTTACACTCGAGCGCATTACACTTATTCATAACAGCGTTAACATCTGTGTTATTATATTATATAACCAACATTGTTAACGAGTTTTTTTTAAATTTTAGACTATCAAGCGGCATCGACGATCAGCTGTTGCTTTCAGATCAGTTATTTTGTTTCTATTACATTGTTTGTTTAGTGGAGTGATTATCCTATCCAAGGAGAATGAATAAGTAGAAAGACAGCGATTACCTCCTAATAGACCACTTTACAAAACAGCGGAAAACACTTTCATTTGCTTTTATTAAATAAGCAGCAGCGTACCTACTGTACTTTTCCTTAAGCTCGGTTAAAACTTATTTAAATCTTTTTCTGTTGCTTATTCTGTTATACGCAATAGCCATTCGTTGATCTAGTAGCTTCAACTCGTCGTGCAGCTCATATCCGGAATGTTGTTATGCAACTAAACACGAAGTCATTGGATATTGTCGACAATTTTTTTTATGTGTAGACCGGTTTGTCACAGTTCATCGTCTCTGGCAAGGCCAACGAACCTTTTTGACCGTCTCGTGAAGTAGAACCCGTTATATATAAAAAGATTTATATGTATCACGAGTTCATGGCGTATAAATTAACTTTTACTTTTGGTTATTGTCTCTCTAGAATTATTTTGTTTACTGTGTATCGCTCTGTGTCGTACCGCATTCGAAATCCATCGTTTATTATTCGATAGGCAAATATTGAAATCACACTTTCGCGCCTGCAAACAGCGTTTGGAATTGTTCCAAACGAATACAATCGATTAACAATAAAGATTTATTTGTTTGGACTGCGCAGGGTACAGTGAAGACTAAACGTTGTTGTCAAAAATGCCAAGATTCAATGTTACGTAGGAGCGGGTTAACGGTACATCCCGGCCCAGGACTGGCTTGGCCAGGAGGATTGTGCAAATAGGAACCGTTACTTGCGATTAACTTAATGGTCCGTAAGTTCAAATACCCCACTGTCAATTTATGCACATCAAAGGTTAAAGACACACCTATCGCCGGCGACATCACGTTTTCTAACTTTGTTACAACCGTTGAGTTACGTTTTGATTTTCTATAATTAAACTGAGACTATTAGGCATTGATTTTAAAAACCATATGAAACTTGAAGGAATCAAAATAAATTATGGCATCGTTAAGCTGGCTCGTAACCTTCGAACATAAACATTGTTTTTCCGACGCTTTTTTGTCTCGCTTATAAAAACCGAAAGAAGAACCGCAACTAGACGATTCATCGGGGAATAATGTAAAACGTGACGTATGATTTCTATGAAACCTGCATCTGCTGGAGAATATTACTTTTTCTGTAATTTCATTATAGACGCACAGAGACATTCAAGTAATAAATAGATAAGGTATACATAGGTATTACAAGGAAAAATACTGATAATATCTCATTTTCAGAGTAGATACTGGTGTCGCAGGTGACGCAATCGCATTATGTTTAGTTTTCTCATAATGTTTATTAACGTACTGCGAGAGGAGTCTGCGAATCCAAACGGCAACACTGGCTTACGTTCACATTACTGTACGGAAGCACAAGGTCGTGATGATGCTAGACGAGATCTCGCATCGGCGGTCTTTGCAAATAAAATACCTACCTAAACTTCGTAATGAAAACAAAATGAGTGTAATTGTTAAGAGGGAGCAGAGGAAAAATTCCTAATCTTCGATTTGATTTTAGAGGAGTATAGCCACTTTAAAGTTAAAAATTAAATATTGTATGAGTAATTACACGATATATTCAAGCATAGACACTAATCAGAAACATAAAACAATAAAGTTTCCTCGATAGATAAAAATCACGAAATGACCTCTAATTTTCACATTTTTACGATTCATTCTCGAAATGCTACAGGTTATTAGGACAAAAATTAGATAATTAATTATATTTATGCATGATCGAGAACTGTCACTACGGATTTTTTTTAATACGTTTACTTTTAGAGTTATTCCGCTAAAACGAATTTGGTACTTTTAATGCGCAAAATTCAACATCTCCTGTCGTATGTCACGCGAACTTCAGGCATATATTTGTTTCACAAATTTGGGCGGAGCCAACGTCAAAACTTTTTTGGCATGAGAGCTCTTAAATGTAAAACTACATTTAATAATAAATTTCATCAGCATTTAAGTAGGCACTTAAGTTGTATTGTAGAGGATAGTTTGGTAATTTACACAACAATTTATCAATCAGTAACTATCGTCGGGGATAGTGCAATTACGCGGAACTAGCATTTGATTATGAGTTTCCACTTCGGTAATGTAGCGTCCAAGTTAAATCCGCGTAACTGTCGTAGCAACCCAATTAGCGTGATTTACGGGAAACTATTATTAACAGTCCGTAGACAACATAAATTAATGCTTACTGTGCAAAAATGAAAGTTGTAACCATTGAAATAACAAAAGTAATAACGTTAAATCCCTCTCCGATAAAAATTTGGTTCGTGCAGCTACGCGCCTTTTACATAACAATATAATAAAATAATTAAAAGTAAAAAAAATAAAATATGTAAAATAGTTTTGAGCAAATCGCGCTTAAAAAATTTTTATTGGTTTGGTGAAGGTGCGTTCCCGAGCAAAATGCTGCGCTAGTTTTATCTACTTTTTTAGTAGCTATCTAGTTATTTAAAGAAGATTTATGGCAATTGTTTTTACAACTTTTTAATATATGGACGTTTCAAATCACTTTACGCACACACTCAACATAGCCCCGCACTAGGGAAACCCTGTGTAGCGGGTGCCATGAACAAACACATAGACAACCACAAATTACACCCAAATTCACGAGAGAAATAAATGTAGGCCATTCAATATTTCTTCCGGCCCTAGAATGGAACCTGGGACTTTTGCGTGGCAGTCCGGCATGGCAACCGTTCGGCCACGGAGACAGTTAAACGTTGTTTACTATTTGTAAAATGCAGATTAGTCGACATGCTACATTTGGCGTCTCAATTTCCGAGTTTTTGTGGGTATTAACACGTATTGCTGACCAGCACCCTTATTACATAAACAATACATATAAGTATACATAATAATAATAAGTGTAATATGTTTATGTACTAACTATATTACATTACAGTATGCGTTAAAACATATTAGTTTTAATGACCAAGCTATATTATGTGTTTTAGTATAGACAAGTAATAAAGTGGTAAAACTAAGATAAACATAGTGACGTAATGTTCTTTGCAGATAAAAAGTGCTAATATTCGTAACATATGTACTTGCTACCTATAACAAAAATACGTATACAAAATGTACTGAAATAAAAATCCGTTTGATGCCTTTTTTCAAACGTTTTAAGGAAATGAGATTCATGCTTGCATGCCTTTATAATAAATAAGATGAAACCCGTGGGCATTCATAATTCGAGATATCTGATAACCCCATGTTATCAGACACGCATCAAATTGTGTGTGAGTTTAGGATACGAATCAATGTAAATTTAATAATTATAACTTTTTTTATAAAGAAACCGACCTCAAAACTTCTAGGGATTATATCTGTTCGCCAAGATTTATTGGATTTGGTTACCGGAAATTGCGCGAATCGGATTCATCCCCTAGTTTGCCACCCGTAGAGGTGGAACATTTTCTTCAAATTTAAATGGGACCAGCTGAGGTACCCTCTTTTCAACAAAAAAATCATCAAAATCGGTTTACTAAAAAGTTATCGCGTAACGTATATACAAAAAAACAGTCGAATTGAGAACTTCCTTTTTTGAAGTTGGTTAAAAAAGAAATGTATTAAATTATCCATAAAGTGAGTAAGGTGGGGCAATATTTTCTAACTTCCATAAGTAGAGGATGGAGCTATTAAAACTGGATCATGTGCAAGTTTTTCTCTACTACAGAGAAGTCTGAGGCGTGATTAGCGACAATCAATTTAGTTAGGCATGCGGCAACAGCAGCGTGTTTAACGTGTCATAGTATTCCCTCACGCGTCCGAAGCTAGATAATAGAAATCAGAACTAGTCATATATACGTAACCGTCGCACGTAATTATACAAAATTACTCTAGTTACGTGAAGGTGTACGTGCACTGTAAGCTGTGTATTTATCTTTCTAACGCTTGCTCATAACCTGGAATGTCAGCGTGTATAATTTTTAAAACATGTGAAACTAATGTTTACTTACTTTACGTTGTTCCTCATGTTGAAGTTTGTTGAGTACTCTGCGTCCCCGCTGTAACAATCAATTACACCGTTAAGTCCAAACCCATGCGAAATGTCGTAAACTAGGTAGCTAACATAAAATTTATGAACTACAACAGCATATAAAAATCTAGAATTGTCATAAGCCAGTTCTAGTTGCTAAATTCGAAACACGACAACTGTGGAAATTGCAGCCTATATATATTACGCCTTGTTTCATTACTTGGAAATTTATATAGTAAACCTTGAAAAAACTGTGTTTCTTGGTCATTGTACTATGCAAGTGGGGTGCAATATCCCCTGATTATTGAGTTGGGAAGACAATAGGACGGTAAAACGCGTTCGACACGCGTTGCGACTACGTTAAATGCCACTGTCTATAGTGAGTCCATAATAAAAACGACGAACAAAAGGTAGGTACTACTAGTAACCTATACTTGTTTAAACTATTCAATAGAGAGATAGTCGAGTAAAGACGTTTTGGAATGCGTCTGTAAAATAAATCACGTTTTATTGTGTCTGTCGCAGGGCGCATTGCGATGAAAAATTATTTGTAACAAAGGGCAAAATAAAAATATTAAAATATATGAACATTCGTGTTAATTACTAAGTAAGTAAACGAGTTTATTATTTCTACATTGCAATGGCACTACTAACACACAGGATATCTGTCATTATAAATTGTCTACATTGGTTAACGGCTTTTTCCCCGTCACGCGGAATATACTTCGTATACGTATCTACCCCGCATGATGGTTTTTGTAGACGTATTCGTCGTCACGCGTAGCATACCCTATCCGGATCGGGATGCTTACGGCAACACGCCGTTAACGCTTTATTAGCAAAATCCATATGAAATAAAAAAAGTCTTAAACATGTATTTCACTAATCGGCAAATATAACAAGTGTATACTATTTTAAAATATATGCTAACATATGCTTGCGACTACACCCACGTTCAGGCTTAAAAAATATTTCATTTAACCCAAGCTATAAACTACCTGTTCGCATAAATAACATCCAAGTCATTCAACCGTTTGGCCGTGATTTAGTGATAAACTGAAATCCAACCAAACTTAATCGTTTGTAATATACATTATAAGATTCATTCTAATATAACAATATTCGTCTTTCTGATATGGAAGATTATGCCAAACATTCACTTCTAATACTTTTAGACACAGAAGTAACCTATTAAATTCAGTCTTAAGTAATCAGGAATATGACTTTCAATGGTACCAATACAATTAGAAGAAACAAGAAACCTTCAGTGCTATTTGAACAACCTGCATATCTCGCTCTAGCTAATCACGTAGTGCCTCAATCGTAATGTAAAGTAGAGGTCGTAATGCAAATTAATGAAGAACAATTAGCGCTTACATCGTTATATATACATGAAGCCATTCTGTGCACGAAAGCTCCAGGATTGGAGCTCAATCCTACATATTTAGTTATCCATGTAGAATAGACGCATTCATAATGTAGCTATGGTTAGTTCCGGCCGCCTGTTTAACAATGATATATGATATCCGGGAACCATTTCGTTTTCGCTTTTTCAAACTAACCCACAGACCAAAGGGTGCGATCTCCTGATTAGCTGTAAGATGAAGAATAAAGTGCTAGGCCTTCTTGCTCTCCTGTAGGTATTAGCAAGTACTTAGGTGTTTAGGGGAAGGCCCGTAATTGGCACTTTTTTTTTCAAACACGATTTAAATACATATATTTCAGATTTTTACAAACGTCTATTATGTGAAATGAATCGGCAATATTAGACTTCGTATTTATTAAGCATTACTCAACAAAATATGAGATCCGAGCTTTCGGCCAATTGAGCCAGCTGGTTCTGTAATTTGTACGGGGCTGCTAAATTGAACTTCAATAGGCTTAGAGGTAAAATTAATAAAACAACTACTATGAAACATAATATAACATAAATAGGTAACTAACCTATTAATAAAAAAAATTAAGCTCTTTAGATAATCAGGAAAATGTCAGGATTTTGATTACCTACATGCTTCTTGATTTCAATTACGTCACTGTACGGAGTGTCCAATCAACTTTGGCACCTTTCTTATCATGGTAATTTCTTTTGCATTTACCACATTCATTCTCCTTGTGTTCTAATCTAACGCTGCTATCTGAACCGTCCAAGACCATTTTAACATCCATTCATTTCATACTGTTGGTCCATTTTAAGCAATAAAAACTAAACTAATAAAATATTAGTTATGTCGGCATTAACTAATAAAATATTAGTTAATGCCGGCAATTGTTTTATGTAAGTTGGTTGTAGATAAACTACGCTTCTATGCTGGAAATTACAAACACTGTATACTTAACTTTAACTTTACACTCTTAGCACCGATCTATGGAATTTACATTAAAAATAACCAAAAACATATTTCAAAACAAAACCCAGACGTTCAATATCACAACAAAAACAACATGGCGAATATGCAATGAAGTTAAATGCATGTCGCTGGAGATTGCCAAAAAAGCAATAAAAAAAAATAGTTTTTGAGATATGATTGATGGTGGTCCAATTTAATTGCCGGTCCAATATCCCCGACTTTCCCCTAAATAAAATGTTTGTGTTTGCTGCGTGCGGAAATACGTAGCAATGTCATTTTTAGGGCAAGTTGCGTGTTGAAAACCATGAAATATCAATGTAATCACGAGTGGTTTACTGTCCACAATGTGTCCATATTTCATACAAAATTATTTTAGTGTGATGTATTTTTTTGTGGTACATTATTTGCAAAGTGAACTGGCCTAGTACAATCTACGTACAAACTAAACCACGTCGGAACTGAATCTCACGGAAAGACAGCAGGAAACATGGCTAGGCTCTAAATAGTCGTCACTGGCAGTTGGTAAACTATAGCTTGAATGCTTCTTTTCAATCGCTATTCTTTATTTATCATTGAATGACCATGAATTAAGTCCTATTTATTAAACATACCTATGATAACCCATTTCGTTTTACAGACGCTGTTATTGTGCTAAAAGTAGCGCCAAGCACCTCCTTTACGATGCTTTTTGGCACAACCCTGATCAATTTTGACAATAAATATGTGTTTGAGATGAGATAAACCTGATGCGCAGTTTCGAAGTGGATATCTTATTACTAATAAAATTCTATTGTTTAAATTAACGCTGAAACTGGAGTTTGAGTATAGGGACAACTACTTCACATCGGCGCGATGTTGGAGATTACATGAAATTAAGGTATTATTAAAATAAATAAAATAAATAATCACAAGATAGAAAAATACAATTCATGAGATTATCATTGCGAAAATTAAACCAGTTTTTCTTCACATGAGTTGAAGTTGAAATAATATGTTTGTCTACATTTTAGTAACATGGTATTATACATAATGAAGCCTAAACACATATTACATACACATATAGCCCCGTATCTAGCTCATCAAAGTGCATGGCGTTTTTATTTGCGACGTAAAATAGCAGGTTTCAATTACGTACAAAAGATTCATTGTAATTATGTTTACATGAGTCCTTACGATTGCAATTCAAGGAAATAATACATTATTTATTAGTTATTATAAATTATTACTTTAAATTCAGTTCAATGTCCAAATAAATACCAACTTCTTGTTTTAATATCCGCACTTCAATTACGAGAATTGGACGTCTTAATTTTTTATATTCTTGCCAGTCAAGTTTGTTTTTAAGTTTCCCCTAACCACGAAAAAACAAAGCGTTCATGAATTTATATTATCTGCGTGTGGTTAGGTGCCGCGCATATGTGTGTCTTGTGTTGTATCCAAACAACCGGTAACTAGGAGCGAATATTCTGTTTTTATACAAATTGCGGTAGTGGCAACCGGCGACGTTGTCCTACTTACTGCCGCAACCAGCGACTGTGTCTGGTTGCCGCAACCGGCGAATGTGTCGATTTCATATCAATTGTATGAAAATAGAATACTTGCTTCTGGTTGCCAGTTGCTTGTATCCAACACAAGACACACGTTTGCGCGGCGCCTTAATGACGGCTTTCGGTGCGTTATGGGCTTTATTTTTTATGCACCATATTACTATAAGTATGTGTATTTATGAAGTTTTACGGTACGATGGGCGGTGGTTGGAGGAATCTCATGGTCACAGGTCGTGATCTCAATGTCAGGACTGTTAAAAATGTGTAGAGTAATGCATCGCAAAGGTGCTACTTTATAGGGTACGCATGCTTTTACTGCCGTCGGCGTCTATTTTACGATGATGGGATGGATTACTATAAGAAAATATAGACATTTTTATGATCATTTATAGGTATACTAGTGATGACGCAAGTCCAGGAACTCGTCGATATATGTATTGAGAAGATCTTCAGTAAGTGCAAGAACGCTCGTTTCTCTGCTCTCGTGGCAAATAATCATAAAACTTTATTTTTGTACAATAAATTTTATAGAACATTCGGAGAGAAAAGGCCTAAATAACTAACATGTTAAAAGGCACTTGTTCAGTTAACGTCGTTTTTTCTTATTGTCGTTTATTTTTTGTTCTCTCTTCAGCTTCGGTTTTTGTAGCTTCTAACGACTATTCGAGGGTGGCCAAGTTAAATGGACAATTCATGATATACTTATAAGATCAGCATCAACATGTACATTATGTATATTTATACCCTTCTAAGAATACTTAAGGAGATGAAGTTAGAGTTGGAATTATAATTAGTTTATAAGTGTTAGTTATATAATTGTAACTATCAATATACAATACAATATCAAATCGATATAAATTAGTAGCAGTAGAGTTCCTTGTGAAAGAGTTTGTCCAGGGAAGTACCTTATCTATTTCTGCCGCTAAACTGTGGGCATTACTGCGTTCCAGTTAGGGTAAGGTTGCTGGTGAAAATTAGAGGCACTTGGGAATTGTCAACTTGTGTCTCAGAGCGCACGACTTCTTCCTCCCATCACAAAAAAGTTAACTAGATTTAATGACGATACTAATGTGCCAGGTAATACCCAGATTTAGATAGTTCATGTGCCAGATTGGTCCTATCGGGAATCAAACCAGGGATAAACCCTTGTCAAGTGTCCACAGAGCAAACCGTTGGGCCATCGTGGTCGTCATAATATGGAGGTTCGAGTGAATGCTATGCGTTGTGTATTTTAAATCGCGATGGTTTTATGTTTTGAAATACTGTTCCGGTTATAACCTATTTATTTATTTGCCGTACAAAATATTTCCTATAGACTGTACATTTCAATTTCTTATAAATCGAACATGTAGTTTAACTAATGTATTCGAGTACTTATCAGTTTATTAACTGTTCTACCGTGGTTACTTTTATCGTCAGAATTTAATACTTTAACTTTGTAGCGACATTAGAACCATATATTAAAAATGTACCTATATGAATGTTAAAATATACCACGCGACAAAAGGTAAAAATACGTGCAGTGATAAATAGTAATGTATCAATGTAAATCACTCACTCACACATTTTTTATTTTAGGTAGGTAATGCTTAATGCTCTGCAGTCACGTGAATAAATGTGTGCCATTAATATTAAAGATATTATTTTATTAAAACAGGAAAAGTTTCCTTATTATGTAGAGAGATGAGGAGTGACTTAAAACACAATCAACCCGCCCGGGTTTTTACCCAAAGCGACCGATTTTAACCACAAAATCGTAGGCAAAAACAGCGTATTTGGAGTTTGGTATAACTCCATTAAAATTGTTATTATTACAAATTTCAATGTAAAACACTTTTTTAGACGAAAAAAGAGGCAACTCCACTACACACGCACCTTGCAACCCTGTGGATTCTTACTATTGAGGACGGACATTACGATTCTACGATTTTATGAAGATCGATTCAATTAAGTGCATACGACGTAACGATTTTTTGTATCGATTTATTTCAATGCGATTTTCAAGCGAATTGATTCAATTGAAAGGCAAAACGAATCGTCTAGATCAGAAAGCAATAATTAATAATATAATTCAATTTAAACAAAACCCGATTTACAACAATTATTTAGTCATAAATAGATTTTGCACTCGATTTCGTACATTTATGGCTTTTAACCCGATTTAAACCCGGCGTTAATAATGCGCCGCCGAGTTAAAAACCTTGTGATTGCCCATCTCTAGGTAGGTAGGAACTGGCTGAGTAGGTATCTACCTACCCAGTCGTTTCTGGTTAAAGCTGTTGGTGTCATAGTGTTTCGTGAAGTGACCATTGATTTTCGTTAATAATAGGATTTGTAGAGGCGTTTCAATTTAAACCCAATTCAATACAAATTCGCAGGTTTATATATTTAGGAACTAAATAGAATATTCTCTTTTAGTCACAGAATTTTAAACTGCTAGTCTAGGGCTACTTCATATCGTTTTAGTTTTACCAGAATAAATATTTTATTTAATTACGTGTCATGGCAGTGTATATATAAAACTTTAAGAAAGTAATACACATAAAGTCGATAATACCTCCATGCTGAATTCCACAATTGTATTTTGTTGTGTATTTGATGTGAACTGGCAATTACTTTACCACGGTAGTGTAATCAGGTTAAAAGTTTTATAACTATTTTGTTTCGATTTTTCTTCTTTTATAATCATTCCGGTGTTTTAGAGGGGGATAAAATTCACTCTACTTGAAGTTTAAGTAAATATACTCTGCTTGTTCCGATTTCTGGTAAAATAATAACAGAATTTGAGACGACAGTAACTTTGTTGACCAAAATATGATGCCATTGCTATTTATGATATACTTAATAACACTTTTTATTTGGCACACAGTTTTTAAAAGTCGGTAAAACCATCTAACCATCTACGTTATAACGACTAAAAAACCTGATATTGAGGGAATGAAACGACTAAATCACGTAATGCTGCAGGATTACATTAAAATTTTCAAAATGTTAAAAATACTGCTTATTGATTTGGATTGTTGTACTTCTCTTTCTCTGAAGTTACAAAACTATATATAAGGTTGACTTAATTATATTTACTAAAAAATATATAATTGTAAATTGCACCAGTTCTGTACCGGTTCTCCACTGTCGGTATAGTATCGGATATTGGGAAAGTTGATAATGTAAGTACTTCCCTGTTCTTAAATGTAAACATAGTCACGCAACATTCGTAATTTCAGCCAATAAAAAAGTAAACGCGTATCTCATTATGTTTTTTATGCATACTACGTTAATAGTTGTAAATATTCGACACCACGCTTATCATTTCATTAATTAAAGTCCATTGTGCGTTAATTTATTATGAACTGACTTAATTTGAAGTCAGTTTGCGTAAACGAAAATTCAGTGTGTTCTTGCTACTTGAGCGGGATCTGTGACACTTGTTGATTTAAAAGTTCCGAAGGAAGCATCAATGACTGTACTGTATTTGAAAATAAAATAAACATCATAAAATTGTCTTAGTTTCAATGAGTATATTGTTTCAGAAGCATGTTGTTATCAATTATCGCAAAAAATTCTTTTAATACACGCGTATGTACCACTTGTTTATTGAATAATAATGACATTTTTTGACACCTAAACGACAATAAAATAATTTATAAAATAAAATGTTTGGCAAATATTTTTTAAGACCACCTATGTAGTTGAAAAGTAGTTCTCTATTATAATCTCGCAAAGCACGATACAATTTGGAAATATTGTTAAATAAATAACGCAAACAGCAGAAGAAGAAGGGAATTTACCTCATTGAATCCAGAGTCTTCGTATTGTTGTGGTGGCGCAAGGCTGAGTTACGCGGGCGGCATACGGCGAGCTCGGAGCGCGCGGGTGTCGCCGTCGAAAGATAGTTGAGGAATCGCGACCGCCGCGTTTACGACCTGTGCCCTCCGTTCTGTGACTGAGCGGATAGGACGGACTACCACCGTAAATTAACAAGGCAGGAAACGTTCGTATGTCGCAAGGTCGTATAAGGCGCTATTGGCGCTCACCTGATCCGTGGATGTCGAGTCGGCCGCTGCTGCGCTGTGTATCGCGGTGCGACTGAGTCGCGCGCTTACCCGACATTCTCTTTTATATGTTTCCCCTTCTCAGAGGGCTCGGCACCATTTTTCTTTCCCCGTGAAAGACCTGGCACTGTTAGGACGGAGGTGTCCGCTCCGTTGACCTGCAAGTTCTGAGCTGCCGCGTCTAATTAGTGTTGTACTGATCACATTTTTATAAAAAATAATTCATAAAGCACCACTTCTGTGTCCCTCTGACTCGATACAGCCAATTTTTTGAAACCGAAACTAGGTAGGTAGTTCAAATTTGACACAGAGATAGAAACAGTACAGAAAGGAATGGTGTAATCATAACCTTGTGTTGTTTTAAAAATTATTGTGTTGTACAAACTTCTCTTCGTAGTCATTAACTTTTGTTACTGTAAAATGACTGTCTCTACGTCCAAGTCTCAAACCACTTTATTTCTTTTGTTGAAAACACCATAACTGTTTTTCACCGTTCAGCTGAATCTCTTCTAGACTGTAGCAGGGTTCCACATAAAGTTAACTCCCTTAATATTTATTGCAACAAATTTATTGATTCAATACCGCCCTCCTAATTCTTATACTTAGTTAAGTTGACCCTGCAGAACCTCAAGTGATATTATATTGTCATCAGACATATGTAAATCGGTGCAAGCAGATATCCTGAAGTTTCCTCGGCCCTTTGCAAGGGGTTTCAAGAAGGTTAACAATAGTTTACAGTTAATACTGAAGTTCAAACTAGATACTCAAATATTCTAAAACTATTGCGATACAGGTGTTCCATCACTATCTCTGAATTGCTGCGGCCCTATCGTCATTCGTGCTTAATATACAGTTGCATGGTTTTCAAATCATGATATAAATAGTGAATATCTCTTTTAAAACAAAAATTTTAAGGCATTTGAGAAGTAAAATGTTGTAATGATGAAGATTTTTTAGAGAGTCAAAATAGTTTCTTCTTCGATACTTCCTCGTATTCGTATATATATGATAATTTTCATGTATGGTAGTTAACGTATTGAAACAGTGTATTTATATTTATTGTAAACTAGCTGATGTCGGCGACTTCATCTGCGTTGAATAAGTACTTCGAATAGCCTTCCGTACTGCATACTTGAGAAATGGTTGGTTCTCTATACAAACTTTCATAACCTATTTCACCCCATATAAGATTTATTTTTATGACAAAAGTAGCCTTATATCCTTCTCCTAGGTCGTCAGGCCTCTGTACTAAATTTCATCAAATTTGATTCAGTCGTTTAGGTGTGAAAACGTAACAGACACCTACAGTTACTTTCGCATTTATGGTTTTAGTTTGGATTATTTCATACATCTGCTTAAGATGTGATATTTGAAGAACATTTTTGAATGTCCTTTTTATTAATGCCCGATATTTCGAACCTGAACAATTTTAAAGCTTAACAGGTTCTGACCGGTTAACCTAAATATCGGAATTCGTAGAAATCATCGGTGACGTATAGGAAAATTTTATGTGTAAATTTTAAATTGTATGAATATTTTTAATAGCTATCTAGCGAGTAAATCCTGTTATCGGGAGTTAGGTGAGATGATAAGTGGTGTATTAAAAAATAAAGTAAAAGAATGTCGTTTATAAACATTCGTCGAATATTCTTGCATAAACAACTAAATCTTACCAAGCAGGTTAACGAACGCAATGTGCTAATCTTAAAATGTTTTTGATGATTTGTATGAATATGAAATAAAGGTAAAGGTCAAAAACACAGCGACTACATAAGCAACTCATTCGGCTTGTATTTACTGTGAAGTTACGCCATCGAAATATGCTTTCAATATGGTTAATGTATTTAAATTTGACAAGGGTTTACACCTAAATAATATCACCAGTTGCTTTATATACTTTTAATATTAGGAATATTAGGAATAAACGCGTTTACATACGAATAGGTATTTTTCACACCTACCTAGTTTATAAAACAGTTTCTTTGTCAACAATTAGTACGTACTTATTTATGGATAAAGTATTACAGTATTAGTACTTCTACATAGAAAAATTTTTGACTATTAATCTTTGACTTACAAATAAATGTAAGTCAATGCTATTAATGTATTTTTTTCAAAAAGTTTTTCTAGAATATTCTGTAGTCTTATGAAAGTGATAGTTGAAACGTAATATCCTGAAATGTAACAACTTCAATCATACAATTATAACGAGTTATATTCCCTACTTACGGTTGACTTGTGGCACTGGACTTGCGGCGAATGGCCAGGTTTCCTATGCAGACTACCAACATGATGGACGCTCTACGAAGTGTCACATAGACACTAAAAATTTATTTAATTATTTTCATAAGGCACATCAACAGCATGTGTATTAATACATTCAAACAACTTAAAACTAAAGACAAAACTCCGATACACAAGCCAATTACAGATGACACAACATTCAATGACTAACACCTAAAGGCTAATTAAACCTCTGAGTACTTATATGAATATTAAAAGCAGCAAATAAATTATACTAAATTTAAGTTAGATCCTCAGAACCAAAATAAACAATGAAAAGAATTACAATCACACAGTTAATCGGATACGCTCGAAGACCTGTATTTTAAAATGGCAAATTTATACTTTGCAAAAGAATCAAAAACCATGTCCAGATTAGGTATAGCACCATTGAGTTCACTGAAAATATAGATCCGTCATCAAAAATTCCTATACGTAATTTGGAATACCCTGGATCTCGTCGAATCGACCTTGTTGTAGTAAGAATATTATAAAAAACTTTGACGCACCTTCGCATCGCTTTAAACCACCCACTGTTTGATCTCACCTGAGAACCTTACCTATTTCTGCCGCCAAGCGATAATATGGACATTACTGTGTTCCAGTTTTGAAGGGTGCTGGCGAAATTACAGGCTTATGGGACTTGTCAACTTATGTCTAAGGTGACGGGCGCAGTGTTAGTGCCCCTCAAATCTTTACGGCACTGCATTGTCATGGGCAGGCGTGTAAAGCGTGTGCGTTATAACGTCAAGTGACGTAACGAACAAGTCGTGCGCCTGGTGGTATGCTACACGCCTGTCCATAACAGTTATAGTGCCACTCAGGCACTGCCACTGCGCCCGTCTTCCTGAGACATAAGTTGACAAGTCCCATGTGCTGTTAATTTCACCAGCACCCTTTAAAACGGAACGCACTATTGCCCACATTACTGCTTTTTGACAGAAATAAGTAAGGTAGTTCTTCCCTCGGACGAACTCTTTCACAAAAAGCTCTTTTGCTAATAAATACACTTACTAAGTTTAATGCTTGCGTATGTTCTAAATATATACGAAAGTGTGTCCGAACTTTCAATCCGCACCTGTGTTGTAATAAAGCCACATGTGCTTATACATCAAGTGCTTTAATCACATAATCAAAGTCTTAAAATAATACTAACTACGTGAAATAAATTATGTATATGTGAATTATTATAACTCTCATAATTAAACGTATAAAGTTATCATCTAATGTCGTGGTTCTGAAAAGTTGTCACTTCGCAAATGTGGCCTTAACTTTAAAGGTGCGATTTCAAAGTAATTTCAATAATTTCTCTCGGTCATGTAAACACAATCACGGTGTGTCTGAAAATGACTACGCAGAAAATATAAATCACTCTGATATTTTTGTAAAAAGCATACAGTCATTTATTCAGGGCAAGAAATAAAATTGGCCTAGAAATCTATTATGTAAGTATAAAATAAGATTAAGTCCGAACTAATAACATCATCCTTCGGGCTTTACCTCTTTACCAGTGTTAAAATATCGGTTATTTTTGAGCCGACTGGATTTACTCGTAACGTCGCACCGAAGGCAAATATTAGAAAGATATTTCGGATGCGATCTGTGTGGACACCGTGGCGCCTTGCAAGTATGGCTGGCGCTGTCGCCAAATAATAAGTTTATCCATTTAGATTACCGTCTACCTTTATTTAACTGGAATATTTGATTTTAAGAATGTAGAGTGTTTTTATTTTCTCAATGTTTATCGGCAATCATCGGATTTCCCGTGCCCATTAAAAATTAACATTTAAAATGTATAATAATTTGAATTTTGAAGAGCGTACTTTATTGTTGTTGTTTTGATTTCCGTATGAACTATGCAGAGCTGTAAAACTTTTTCCTATTTTTAATAACATTAACTACTCCACGTCAATAAGTAAGTTAACAAAAATATAAAATAAAAAAAGTGTGCTTCTTTTATGTAACTAAAAATGAATATTTTTTCGGTTTTTAACCATTTAAATTCAGTCCGCATCTGAACGCATTTCTTCAACTGACGTGGCTAATGTTAATATGTTCGTCATCGATGGAATCATCAATTTCAGCGCTACATGAACACATTCAAAGAATTGAATATGTTACTTTATTTTAAGAATTTCATCGTTTCTGTTTACCAAATTCATTTAATTTTCCCGAAATATCGGGAAAAAATAATAGGCCTTTTATCGTGGTAAGAAATCTGTAATTAGTAATAATCATGTAAGTTTTTCACATAAAGTTTGAAATTCAATCCCAAACGTTCATCGTTCCGAATCACTGTTTTCGCGGTAAGTTTAATTCGACGAACAAAGTTTTTTGCTTTTATTTTTTTGACTAATAGCCCCGCACTAGGGAAGCCCTGTATCGCAGGTCCCATGGACATACACATAGGTAGACAATAAGAAATTACACCCAAACTCACGAGAGAAAAAAATGTAGGCCATACAAATTTTCTTCTGGCCCGGGAATCGAACCCGGGTCCTCTGTGTGGCGGTCCAGTATGGTAACTGTTCGGTCACGGAGGCAGTGAAAGTCAGAAAGTAAAAGAGAAATTGTTGATGTGGCATTAGAATTTCCGCACTATAGTTTATCATCTATTTCTTTATGTTCTCCTTTATACCTGCGAAACGAAGCGACCATAGAACTACTAAACTACTAAAAATCGATATAGAGCCTGGCCGACCGCGCATTATGTTGAACCTTTAATAGAGTT